ATAATAATAATAATAATAATAATAATAATAATAATAATAATAATAATAATAATAATAATAATAATAATAAGATAGGTCGGCAGTGGGAGCACATCAGGGATGCCCCCGAGTCCAGCACCCGGCCAGCAGAACAGTCACAGAAGCAGCCCCCGGAAGTAAGGACAGTTCGGGGGACGATCCACGTGATCGTTGGAGGATCGATCGTAGCAGGATGCACCTCGGCAGCAGCACGGAGCGAATCCACCCGTCAGTCCGTGAACTCCCCACGCCGGGTCAAGACCTCGGACATGGGGAGTGGGGGGCAATTGATGGAGGTAGATTCTACCCGACCCCTTGGCTGCGCGACACGTGGAAGAAAACAGGGTGACCTGGCGGGAACGCCAGCTCGGCACGGCAACATAGCACGGCCATATCCCAAGAAGAGGCCCGAGCTTCCCGAGCTTTCCAATAAGAGGCCCGAGCTCCCCAAAAGGAACCCACACTTCCTGGGAGGCGAAACCCGAGCTCTCCCTAAGAATCCCAAGGTTAACAGAAGCCCGCGAGGGGCAAACCCAGACTAGCCCACCTCGGGTCAGTCCGGACCATATGTCGGCACCTCGGACAGTAGGGCGCTCCCATTTGAACTCAAGACTTCACCTCGCGCACCACTCTAGCACCTCGGCTCCAGGTCGCGCAACTGTGAAACCGTACCTGACAGGTTTGTACTCTGAGGCAGCACACCTGACTGCTCTGGATCTGACAGATGGCAATCACGCCGTAACGGCCACCTGCTACCGCCATCTCAGTTGTGGCAAAAACGGCCTTGACAGAGAGGACAATGGCGGTTATGTCTGCCCCCCACAGAGGCGGTTATACTTGACTTGGCAGAAATTTGGGAGTGAGTGCACCAGGTGATTATAAAAGACCTTCTTCCCCTAGAGAAAGAGGTATGTGATATTTGTGCTTTCTGGTATTGAAATCTCTTATTTTCCCTTGCCTTCTAAAGAATATTAACTTGAGCTTCGGAGTATTCCCACCGGGTTCCTCCCCGGAAATCTCCAATTTCTTCTTTGTTTCAAGCATCTTCGACTCTATCAGAGACAAGGTTACCGGCAGCTAAGACCGACCGGATCGTACGTCATCAGATTCCGAGAATGAAAAATGAAATAATTGATGCCAAACGGGGCCTTAACCTTTCTCATCTCACTAAAATCTTTACAACCAAACACATCCTTCATCCTATCCTTGTCGTTTGTCATATCACCAAAATATTCACAACCAAACACACCCTGAATCACCGATACAAGCCATTGAGGTAACTAGAATATTATGACACAGCGACATGCCCGCCATTTGTCGAACATGATTGGATTTTTATAATTATTTTGGACAACTCTACCCCTAAACAAATTGCTAATTTTTAATAATCGTCCAACTTAAAAGAAACCCCTGCTTGAGAGTTAAGACCCTATTTCTTCTCTTCTCCGCTACTGCAATCTCTGGTGATGGGATCTGTTCCTCACAAATGGGCGCTCACAGGCACATCTGCATTGGGAACATCTCTCATGAATAATAACTAATAAATGCAGGAGATATTTCCAATGCATGATAAGATGGAAGGAGCATATCCGGTCTCACCTTTTTTTTTCATGTTTATTCTCCTGTTTTTTCTTTATTTTTTCCTATAACTTCACAATGAGCGTCAAATCAGAACGTTGCATCCCTATTAATGCAAAACAATTTGCTATTTCATTTTGGTAATAGCTATTATCGTGATTACTATTATAGCCAAGTTTGGTAGTGCTTAAAAATAAATACTTAGTAGTTGTTTGGTATCATTAAAAATAAGTTGTGGGATCATACAATAAGTGGCAAATAAGTATTTATTCATATTTTAGAAAAAAATCAAGAAAATATACTTATTTTGAAAATAAGTGCTTAAAGAATAAGCAAGGTTGCTCATTTTAAATACTTAAAAAGCAAGTGCTTATTCAATTTTTTTTCAGGGAAAGAATATCCCTAAAAATTTTGGAATGCCAAGACTACCCTTGCAAATGGAGAAAACCTTATCATCTCCTATTTTTGCGTTGGTCACTTCAAGATTTTTGAACCGCCGTTGACCCGGATGGTCGGACCATTTGGCTTGGGAATCGTCTAGGCAACCAGTTCTGTTTGACCTAAAATGTGGTTTTGGTCAAAAAACGTTGAAAAAGTCAATCAACCATTGACTTGGGTGATCGAACTGTTGACCCGTCAACCCGTTCAACGGTTTTTTACCATTTTTTAACTTTTAAATATTATTTTTTTAATTTGTTTGTCAGAACGAGCCGTCCGTTCGAACTAAACGATTAGACCGTCGACCTAAAAACCAATGGCCAAAATGGTTTCATTTCTAGATCATTTTTTAAAACGTTGGGTCACTTGTAGTGCAACAGGAAGCGTTATAGAGGGGTTACCAGCAGCTATTTATTCGATTTAGATCTCAAGTATGGAATTTTTCACGTTTTGCCTTGTTCTTTCTACGTTTCCATGCCATTTCTTATTTTTTGCTACTTTATTTTTATTTGAAATCAAATTTGTTTGTTTTTTTTGGGATGACTTACACACATGATTCGAGGTAAGTTCATTTCTAATCTTTCTTTTTATAGTTCCATAGCTTTATACGAATCATTGTTTTTTCTTTTTTTGCATAAATTGTGGGGTATTTTCACTATTGTTGCTTTTGATGTTGGTTGCGTTTTATTGCTAAATTATTTAGCAAAAAACCAAAAAATTATTACATATCGATATAATGATAATTTGGATTTGGGTCCTTGAATTGTCCTTTCTGTTAGTATTATTGTTATCGTTGATATATTATTATTGTTAATTTTTATTATTTATTTGTTATTATTAATTATTATATATTATTAATAGTACTTATATTTATTTATATTATTATTAATATTAGTATTTTAATTTATTACTTTATTATTATTATTATTATTATTATTTATGATTTTTAAAAATGAACCGGTGACTAAACCAATCAGGGGTCCAGTTATCGGTTCGAACGGTCTGACCGTTCTGACAAAAAAAATAAAAAAATTTTAAAAATTAGAAAACGGTCAAAACCGTTCGAACGATTTGAACAATTAACCGACTGGTTCAACGGTTTGTTGACCAAAATAATGGTTTTGAGGGAAAAAACAGTTTTGAAGGAAAATGGAACCGATCAGGTCCTGGTTTTTTTGATCCGACCATCTGGTCCAGTCCAGTTTTAAAAATAGTGTTATTTATTATTTATTTTAATATTTAATACTTATTATTATTATTATTATTACTATTGTTATTATTATTATTTATTATCATCATTGTTTTTATTTTCTAATAATGCCACGTGTGTTTCATGTGAGTCCATATATTGTTCCACATACATGACATGTGGACCCATGTATCTCAAAGGGTAGAGTAATCATTTCTATAAATATATTTTAATATATATAATATTCAAAGGGCATCACTTAACACTTTTGTTGGTATCAAAGAAAAGAAGCATCACTTATATGTATTTGTGATAGGGGCTAAAAAGCAAAAATAAGTAGTTAATAATGAAGTGATTTACCAATTAGCCCAACAATAATTAATGGCTAAACATAGGCGTTTAGAAAATAAGCCCATTAGTTACTTTTAAGAATAAAACAATTATTGAAGAATTGGGGAAAATTTTCAATTAGTGCTCTCTACTTTGGGCCTAGTGTCATTTTGGTCTTGAACTTTAAAATTCAGTATCCAAAATTTTAAAACGCGTAATACCTATCCTTAAGTAACTGTTAACCAACTGTTAAGTGGCATTTGAAAAAGATATAAATGTCCTTTAAATGTTATCTAATTTTCTTTATAAATCATTCAAATATTGACAAAAAAAATAACAGCCATAAATCTTTTTCTATTTAAGAAAGTTGGGGTCATGTCTCCTTGGGCATTTTGGTGACCCCAACTTTCTTGAATAGAAGAGGCAAATATTTGAGATTGTTAAATTTTTATCAATGTTTAAATGGTTTATGAAAAAATTTAGATAATACTTGAAGGGCATTTGTATCTTTTTCAAGTGCTATTTAATAGATGGTTTTAGTAGCTAATTAACGTGGTATTGGATTGACACGTTTTGAAAATTCGGGTACTGAATTATATCACATTTTAAAGTTCGTGGATCAAAATAATACTATGCCCAAAATATAAGTTACTAATAGGGAAGTTTCACTTTTTGCAGTGCTTAAATGCAATTATTCGAAAATTTGATTCCAAAATACTCCTCGGCTAGATTTCAAAATGCCAGTAATGCCGTTCGATCGCTAAAACGATAAATATAGGGTTTGTCTCTGTTTGATGGTTTCGTCTTCTCCAAACACCAGCGCTTGAACCAGAGTTCCTACGGCCAGGTTACTCTCTTCTCGTTTTTCCCCCGTTTTCTCATCCTCAACCAATCAAGTTAAAGTGTTTTTTTTTTTTTTTCGTTTTGTTCTTCGAACCAGCCCTAATAAGGTGTTTTTTTCTCTGTGAATACCAGGTTGGGGTTTTCGTTTTTCAATCTCAAAGTTGGATCTGCGTCCAGGTTGGTGAATTCCTCTCTAATATTTTTTTTTTTCATTTTCAAAACCGAATATTGAACATGGCGTTGATCCATGAATCTCACCATTATGTTGAATCAAGCTCTGTGATTTTTCCCCTTGTGTTGTGAATGTCTAATGTAAAGTGTTGTCTTGAACCGTGGGGATTCTTTCCCCTGCGTTGTGATTTTTTTTCAATGCTTATTTGACTATGGATTAAGGAAGTCAACAAGGTTACTGTTGATTGACTAAGGCTTCGCAGTGTTCAACAATCTATATAAACCCTGCAAACATTATAGCTACTTATATGAGGGTCTTTGGTGCTTGATTTATTTGTTGAATAGGGGCAAATAATGCAGGTAGTATATTAGGGTTGATACAATGATTATCTTCCGAATTTCTAGGATGGGAAGGGATGCCTGTTTTTTGTTTTGTGCAGGTAGTATAAAGTTGTCTTTTGAATGAGTGCTTATTGGAGAAATAGACCACCAAACGCCTAATATGAAATAAGTGCTTAATTTTTAAAATAAGCACTTGAAAAAGCTGCGGGCCAAACTCAAAAAAGTGCTTATTTGAATAAGCACTTGTTTTTAAGCACTTATTTTAAAATAAGCACTCCCAAAATTGTCCTTAATCTCATTCCAATCTGCGAATGAGTCCCTGTAATTGATATCCCTGTGATTACATGTGTAAAGGGTGAAGGAATGTCTGAGCTGTTAAGAGATATCATATTGTCATTATTACCCCATATCTCTGAATGGATTCCGGCTAGCCACTGTCAGTGAATAATTTGTGCTGCTTCTTTAAAAGCTTTGGTGAACAACATCTAGAGTTCTAGATGGTTCAGCATCTTCAACGTCATGATCACAAGCTTTTGACTATGTAATTCGATTTTTTATGTTCCCGAATTACTTTAGAACTCCTTATGTTTGGTCTTACCTCAAAAAGTTGAACCATACCTTTGATTCTATGACTGTGAAGCTCTTGAACATATGTCTAAGAGTACCTTTACTTTTTTTTCTTGGTCAATTCAATTTCTGATTACGAAGTATCAGTAAATTGGAAGACAGATACATTTTCATGCTCTGTGAATGAAAGGTGAAGATATCAAATATTCAAGGTTCTTTGTAGTTGTGCTTGGATGAGTTTATATGTGCTTGGTATTGTTTATATATTTAATTGTTTAACTGCATGGTGAAGAATTCTACTGGTTTGATGGTGATTACTGCATTTTGTGACTTCATTGGTTCAAATAATGACTTTTAAATACAAAGAATTTATTTGAGTTTCTTGATGGGAATATAGATTAACCACAAAGAATTTGAAGCTGCAAGTTGGCTGATTGTAAATGCACAAAGTAAGCCCATTTTCTTTTTTTTTAACTATTTCTTATTTTTCCTTTTACAATATATATTATTAATTATTTATTGAAATTTATTTTTAAAATGTTATATATGTATTGAAAATAATTATATACTTATATGTTATTATTTTATATTTTTAATAATTATACAATATCTCTTTTTTATTATATTATTAATAATTTTAATGTTTTAATTTTTTTAAGAACCGATAATATTTTTAATTTTTATGACTATTTTAATATTTTAAAGTATTTACTAGTGAAATTATATTAATAAGTAATAGTTATGCGAAAAGGGAAAAATGTATGGTGCTTTTTTCATCAGTGCAAAATGTATGATTTCAGCAGTAACAGCATCCAAAAGTACCAAAATAGATTCATTCAAAGGGGTAAAATTATAAAATAGGTATTGCTCAGAGGTTACAACATTCAGATATTCAAACAGTTCCACTATATTCAGATGATCAAAAAAGTAGAAAAGTGGATTTTGGCTTTCCAGTAATCACACTTTTCTGCTTTCCAGATATTTAGTATTATCAAACGGCACCTACAGTACTTCATCCTTTTCAATGTGTGTAATAAGATTCCCTAGTTTTTTTTGTAGAGCAATGTGCCCATGGGTGTGATTTTTCTTCAACAAAGAAAAGGTGGGTCATCTTATTAACCTCAATGTAGTTGTATCATGGGTTCTTCAACATTCGTTCTTTCATTTTTAATCTCACCTTGTACGTTTCATTCCATTTCCCATACATCTATAAGCACTCACATTTTCTATGCTTATCAACAAGGTCTAAACCGACAAACCCATTCAGATGAAATCCAATTCTTTTTAGTTTTCTGTGAATCTCCTTCCCTCTTTCCAAATACAAAAGCTTTGCACAAGTAGAGAGGACAGTCTCAAATTTCAGTAAGCACTCACCTTGTACGTTTCATTCCATTTCCCATACATCTATAAGCACTCACATTTTCTATGCTTATCAACAAGATCTAAGCTGACAAACCCATTCAGATGAAATCCAATTCTTTTTAGTTTTCTGTGAATCTCTTTCCCTCTTTCCAAATACAAAAGCTTTGCACAAGTAGAGAGGACAGTCTCAAATTTCAGTAAATCAGGCTAAAATCTTAACTTTTAACTTCTAATATTTTCAAACAAGTCTAAAGCATTTTCTTTGTTGTCATTTTGCTCGTAACAAGATGTCACAGTATTCCAATGAGCATCTCTTTTAGGCATTTTGTTGATCATCTGAATTGCTGTACCAAACATGACAAATTTGGCAGCCAAAGAACTTGCGATGGCAGCATGACATTCAAAACAATTTGGTTACATAGATATCGGGTCTTCTTGTTTTACACTTTCTAATCCATTATAGGCCTTGAAAATATTTGGGCAGATGAAATTATCAGGTTTAAGATGAGAGAAAATTGCAACCTCTAGAAGAACTGAAAAGCTTTAGTGTTGCATTTGGTACCTTGTGCAAGCAACTATGAGGCCATTCCATGGATAAATTTTTAATGGATTGTCTATAGCTGGAAAAACTAACTCTATAGATTCAAATAAATGACAAGAGAAGTAGAGGTTGGTAAGGTATTTAGACAAGAGATGCTGTTTTGTACACTAAGTGTGATTATCTTTTGGTGGAAAAGGTTGCCTTGTTTCAATGATTTAGAAGGCATACACGCTTTCAACGTGGATAAAAGTTTTTTGATATCCATTATCCATCAAACCCTAAAAAGTAAAATCAAAGAAGCAACAAAAGCACCAATAAACAAAAGTTAGTTTTTTCTTGGTGGTTGATTGGAATAAATTTTTGTTGGTAACTATGGGGGCTGGATCTTGATCTTGGTTATATGCCAGGATTTGAGAGGTTGGTTGAGACCAAGGTAGACGAAGACGGCTCGACCCGGTCCATTTATAGCGGGGCAGATGGTTGTGATCACCTTGAGCGTGAGACCGGGCTTGGTCTAGTTTTTTCTGGAAGAGACCTTCTAGGATGAGATCAATAGATCACTCAAGCTTATCTCTTTAATCTCAACTACTTGTTTCTTGATGCCTTTAATACTCCTAAGGGGGGTATTTATAGTGGTCCCCGTCACTTCTCCCTCGTTTGTCCTTTTGTACACGGTGGAGGGGAGAGTTGGTGAATGCCTTCATTACACCTAACCCTCCCTAGAGTCCCTCGTGTACCCAGTCCCTTCTCTAATAGCTTACTTTGATTTGCCATGCCTCCTTGACGTGCCCATTAATAGACCTTGTTGCGGTCATGCCGGTCATAAATGCATGCCACCAACTTTGTGCCAGACATTAAATGTCTGTCAACATGGCATGATGCTATGATCGCGAGTCTTCCCTCCTACCTAACCTTACCTGGTTCGCCACACATTAGGGTTTCTTGCACGAGTGGACCTGTGGTTAGGTGGCGGTTTTCTCCTTGGCCTCCTCACTTGGTTCGCATGTTGATTAAGGCTTCCATTCGTCATTAATGCGTTGTTAGTCGACCTGACCTGCACCTCGCATGTTGTCCCATTGCTTGCCACATGGTTTGTTGTCTACCCTTGGATGAGGGACTTCAATTGAGTTACAACATTAGCCCCTTGACAGTTGGGCCACCTTGAGGATCGAGGGTGATGTGGTTGTCACTTCACCTCGACTTCAACAAGCCTGCATGGTAGCTAGATAGAGTATTGTTCTGAGGGGTCCGACCACACAACTTGGTCGGGCTTTAATTCACCACATGTACAAACAGACAAACGAAGGAGAAGCGGTGGGGCCAAGTTATTTGGGTGGTTACCGAGCTTAACTTTAATTCGCCACATGTATGGCAAGATGTGTTTGAGAGAATACCGCACTTAGCATGGCCATAGTGTGTGGCTGGACCCCTTGGAACAATACTCTATCTAGCTAGCATGTAGGCTTGCTGAAGCCAAGGTGAAGTGATAGCCACACCGCCCTCGATCCTTGAGGTGGCCTAGCTGTTAGTGGGGCTTATGTTGTAACTCAATAGGAATCCCTCATCCAAGGGTAGACAACGCACCACGTGGCAAGTGACGGGACAACGTGTGAGGTGTGGGCCAAGTCTATTGACAACACATTAACGACGAATGGAAGCTTTAATCAACATGCGAATCGGGTGAGGAGGCCAAGGAGCAAACCACCACCTAATCGTAGGTGGTTATCAGCATTTAATTAACCTATGAAAAAATATTTACAACACCAGGCCACAGAGGGTATAAGTAGCACCCTCTAATTATTTGTATTTCCCTAAAATATTAGGTTTATGGGCCAAAACCTATTGTATTTCCTAGCATTTGGCTTAGACCGAAGGGTAGACTCGTTGAGTTGAACATAATTAGTTCATCTAATCGAAGAAAAGAAATATAATCAGTTTATGTATTCTTGAACATTCCAAATTAATATGGTGTACCAAGCCTGAATTATTAAATCATATGTATTCCTAGCATTTAGCTGTTCTTCTAATTTGATTGGAGTGTGGTGCTGCACCACCCATAAAATCTATAATTTTATTTCTTCCTTGGGTTGAAGAAGTAGCTTGATTGTGAAAAGATTTAAGAGGAGATCAATCTTATGTTTGTTATCTGGAAGGCCAGCCTTTCCGTATGTATTAATTATATTTAGGATGAAGGGTACATATTGTAGAATCAGTCATTTGTTTTTTTTCCCTATTTTTTATCAGCTAGAACCAATTTATGACTGAAAAGACAAGTACTTCAAAAGATGATCATAGATGTTCCTTCCAAGACATTCTCCAAGATATTGGGGAGAAAAATAGCTCGACAGTTATGGATATCCTATATAAATAAGATGTCAACTAAAATAAAAAAAAACCTAAGGCTTAGTTTGGAAGGAGTACAAATACAAATATGTGCAGTGCAAATCATACAAGATTTTGCACTATAATATTTGTATTTGTACTCCTTCCTACAAATATGTTCAATGCAAAACCTTGTATACAGTATTTCTAAATATTGTATTTGCACTCTTCCCAAACTGAGCCTAGGTAATAATTTAGCGCAAAATGGAGACTAACCCACCAATAGACTAGGATCTATGTTGAACATGTGTTGATCCATCCATGGCCACTATGAGGTCTTGGAGGCATTACACATGATGATCATAAGATAGCTATTTCATATTTCTCAAGGCAACAGCTAGGACTCCTAAGTGGCACCTAGATGACAAGGCAACTTTTAGGGATGCCTTTATATTGTGTATCTTTTGCATACATACTAGGTGCCTTCTTAGGCAAAGAAAAGGGCAAGATGGGCACCTTATAAATTATTTGCTTGGATATGCTTGTATGCTTTCTTGCTTGCATTCAAGTTCTTATAACTTATAATACTCTTTTGCTTGGTTTCATTATGTTATTGACTTATTGCTTCGCTTGTTTGTTTTGAACTTTTTGTTAGGTGGTAATTTGTTGCTTCTTTAATTTTACTTTTCTGAGTTTGATGGACACCAAGAGGATTTTATCCATGCTCAAAGCATGTACAACTTCAAAGTCATTAAAACAGGGCAAGCTTCTCCACCAAAAGATAATCTTACTTGGCCTACAAAACAACATCTCTTTATGTAAATACCTTATCAATCTCTACTTTTCTTGCCATTTATTTGAATACGCACGGTTAGTTTTTCAGACTGTAGACAACCCATTAGAAATTTCTTTGTGGAATGGCCTTATAGCCGCTTACACAAGGTACCAATTGTACAGTGAAGCTCTTCAGCTTTTCCAGAAGTTGCAGTTCTTCCCTCATCTCAAACCTGATAATTTCACCTACCCAAGTGTTTTGAAGGCCTGTAGTGGATTGCAAAGTGTTGAAATAGGAAAGAAGATTCATACCCATGTGATCAAAACTGGTTTTGAATTTGATGTAGTAGTTGCAAGCTCTTTGGTTGGCATGTATGCCAAATGTGGCCTGTTTGACTTGGCAATTCAGTTGTTCAATGAAATGCCTAATAGAGATGTTGCCTGTTGGAATACTGTGGTGTCTTGTTATTATCAAAATGGGCAACCAGAAAAAGCACTCGACTTGTTTGAAAAGATGAAAAGTTCTGGTTTTCAGCCTGATTCAGTGACATTCACGACTGTTCTTTCTGCTTGTGCAAGGCTTTTGGATTTGGAAAGTGGGAAGGAGATTCACAGGGAAGTAAAAAGAACTGGGTTTCATTTGGATGGGTTCATTAGCTCAGCTCTTGTGGACATGTATGGAAAATGTGGGTGTTTGGAAATGGCTAGAGAGGTTTTTGAACAGATCCCAATGAAGAGTGTGGTCTCTTGGAACTTGATGATTGCTGCATACAGTCTAACTGGTGATAGTCACTCATGCCTGGAGCTTTTCCGAAGGATGAATGAGGAAGGAGTGAAACCTACTTCAACTACTTTAAGTAGCATCTTGATAGCTTGTTCCAGATTAGCTAAGCTACACAAGGGGAAATTTATTCATGGTTATATAATAAGAAATGAGATAATATCTGATATATTCATTTACAGCTCACTTGTTGATCTTTACTTTAAATGTGGAAGTGTTATCTCAGCTGAACATGTCTTTAAGGAGATGCCGAAGACACACGTGGTCTCTTGGAATGTGATGATTTCAGGATATGTAACAATAGGTTATTACTTTGAGGCTCTTCACATCTTCTATGACATGAGAGTTGCTGGTGTTAAACCAGATTCTGTTACATTCACTAGTATCTTGCCGGCTTGTTCACAACTAGCAGCTCTAGAACAGGGAAAGGAGATCCACAAATATGTCAAGGAGAATGGTTTTGAATCTGATGAGAAGGTTATGGGTGCTCTCTTAGACATGTATGCAAAATGTGGCACTGTGGAAGAAGCACGCCAAGTCTTTGATAGGCTACCAGTGAGAGACTTTGTCTCATGGACCTCCATGATTACAGCTTATGGGTCTCATGGACAAGCTTTCAAGGCATTGGAGCTTTTTAGTAAAATGCAGGATTCCAATGCAAAACCAGACAAAGTAACTTTCCTTGCAATAATGTCTGCTTGTAGTCATGCAGGGTTGATTGATGAAGGGTGTTATTTTTTCAATCAAATGACAGCTAGCTATGGGATTAAACCTACATTGGAACATTACTCATGCTTAATTGATCTTCTTGGACGTGCTGGTAGACTGCGTGAAGCTTATAGCATCATCCAAAACACACCAAGCATACAAACAAATTTTGATTTGTTAAGCACATTATTTTCTGCATGCAACATGCATGATGATTTAGAATTGGGGGAGAAAATTGCAAGATTGCTCATTGAGGAGGATCCTAATGATCCATCAACCTATGTGACTCTTTCCAACATGTATGCATCTATTGGAAAATGGAATGAAGTACGCAAGGTAAGGTTAAAGATGAAAAAGTTAGGATTGAAGAAGAGCCCAGGATGCAGCTGGATTGAGATTGATAAGACAATCCACCCTTTCTTTGTTGATGATAAATCGCACCCAAGGGCAGATGTGCTCTATGTATGTCTAGAGAATCTTTTCAAACACATGGAAAAGGATGAAATACTGTTAGATTAGGAATCTGAGGGAACATGGATGAAGATACGCTTCTACATACCTGACACTTCTACATGATTGAATCTTGAATCAATTAGAAGTCTGAGTGGTGACACACCATCATCTGCACTTTGTTTAGGTGTAAGGAGGTTTTTTGTGTTACTGTTTTTTGCTTCATCTGCGATCTCCTCATGAAAATGCTGACCAAGTTAAAGTTGCAAATCTCCAAGTCTCCTATCACCTATATAGGTATAGGTCAGAGCTGAAAACAATTACTAAATTATTATGGAAATTGTACTAAGTCACTTGTTTGTAGATTTGTTTTTAATAAATTATGCATGCTTTTCATATGTTCTTGTTGATTTTAATTCCATTTATCAAGAAGAAGATGAATAATTTGTTTGTGGGTTGGTGATCAAAAGCTGCATCACAAGGAGTCAAGGTCTTTATGAAGTCAGCTTATCATCCCAACTGTCTTAAAGTAATGAAGTTCAGTCATTTCACAATTTTAAGGTCTGTATCCAGTCCACCCCTTCCAAGACCAACAATGGCTGGGTCAAACTTTATGTTTGCACGTCTCCTTGGAATTATTAGTTTCATATAGTCTTAGGACATCAGCACGGTCTCCATTTATCATAAAAGTTGCCCTTCAATCAATTTTCCTCTATCTTTTTGATCTTTCACTAAGCTTGTAATCATTATTCATGAATCATGATGCCTATTATTGAATAATGATGCATATAATGTGTATAGGCTCCACATCTCATCTCCATTCTCACATGTTTGTGGATTTTCACCTTCTTGTTCAAGTGTCTTGAAACTTAGATGGATGAAAATGAGAAATGAAAGGGTTGCTCATCTTAAATGTGATCTAATTACTGATCTCCTTTGGTTTATCTATAATCCAGTAGAAAGCCATCCATAATATGCTTTGATGGCAGATACTTTTTGATAAACAATTGTGGTCATAGTTGTACATTTCAGTTTTTCTTAAGGACAGGATATGCTGTTGGAGTGAATAGCAATTACTTGTAAAGTTACATGTTCTTTATTTTGTTTCATGGGAATGATTTCTATGAAAATTTCATCTTGACATCCCAAAAAGTCTACTGTGAAGGGGACTATCTGGGTTGAATGTGTTTGAATTTCCAAATGACATTAGCTCTATATACCAGCATATATTGTATCTTTGATGTATTTTCCATGTGACTCAACTAGCAAATCCATCCCCTAATTCTGCACTTTCTTTTACATGATTTGTCTGCAAGACTACTTTTCCTTTGTGCTCTGACACTGTTTTGCCTTTTGTCATCATAAACCATTGCCAGATTCCTTTTAGAGAGAAAAATAAAATGATGGCACTTGGGGAGATTTTAAATTACAAGATAGTTTTATTCAAATTATTGTCATTTGCTACATGTTTCTCTTTTATCTGGTTTATTAGACTTTGTTATAGTTAACCAAAGCTCTAACCTGCATATTATTAGCTAAAAATCTGTAAGAAATAAGTATTTGCGAAGGAGAGTATTCTCATTTTATATTTGCATTCGAGTTTTTTTCTTCTTTTTCTTTTATAGATAAAGTAAAGATATCGTTAGTTCATCTATCAAAAAAAAGATATCATTCGCTCAAAAAAATTACACCAGATAGTTGATAAAAAACACCAGATAAGTCATCTCGTCCACTACTGTCCAAAATATCTTGACAAGACCAAGGAATAACATCTTCTGATCCATTAAGGACCAAAACAAAGGGTAATGTATTAATCATGACTTTCACCACATTCCAATCCTGGACCTTGGAAAAATTTAAAGCATAGAAAATAGCTTTCAGTTTGCTTCCAGCACACCATACTTTACCCCTCAAAAAAGTCATCTGCGGCAACCACAAATGAACCTGAATCAGTCCGCACCACAAATCCTTGAGATCTTATCTCATTATTTTTCAAACCTTCACATTTAATGACATAGTACTCCATCTGAGATCTTCTATCAGACCCCAAGGAGCTACTGAATTAAAGTTTTGTTGAACATCCTCAACCTTTTTTCAAGTATTAAAAATGTTAATAGTTCAATTTAGAATCCATCTAACTAACTTAAGAACATTTTGAAACAAACATCCATTTCTAGACTTCTAGCATGCCATGTATACTAGAAAGCAATGGCCAACCATCCCAACTTTAGATGTTTTTCTAYCATGACAATTCTAATCCTGCTCCCAGAAGTAACAGCAGAGAGCTACATAAAGGGCCTTTGTCTAAAAATGGTATTGGAGGAGGGTTTTGTAGCAATTGCAGCGCCTTGGATGGCATGTCTCCACTAGATGTTTTTCTTTTTGAAAAATAACAAGGCTGAGTTGAGTTAAATCAAGTGATATTTGTTTAATCAGATCCATGTCCAGCAACTCTTACCTATCATATTTTGTCATTCTCAGGACATTTGAAAGAATGCCAAAGATAAAAACAAACCGTGTCAAATACCCAAACGGGTGGGAGCTGATTGAACCTACTCTCCGTGAGCTAGAAGCAAAGATGAGAGAAGGCTGGTCTCTTCCATAGAAACTTGACAGTGCTCATTTACTTATTCTAAAACTACACATTTATGGCGAAATTCTGTTTTTCTCCCTTTATCTTTTTTGTTAGTAATTGTGTTTTCTCCCTACAGCTGAAAATGACCCACATGATGGTAAGAGAAAATGTGAGGCATTGTGGCCTATTTTCAAGATAGCACATCAGAAGAGTCGCTACATTTATGACCTCTACTACCGAAGGAAGGAAATATCGAAGGAACTGTATGAGTTTTGCTTGGAGCAAGGTTATGCAGACCGCAATCTAATTGCAAAGTGGAAAAAGGTCCGTCTCTGAATTTCTATGAGAACATTTTTACTGCTCAACATACTTGGCACTATCAAATGCAACATTTTCTCCTTCATGTAGCAAATTACTAATTCATTTACCCTATGTATTAACTTTTGAGTTACAGTCAGGGTATGAACGCCTTTGTTGTCTACGATGCATACAGCCACGGGATCACAACTTCAACACAACATGTGTTTGCAGGGTCCCCAAGCACCTGAGGGAAGAAAAAGTGATTGAGTGTGTGCACTGTGGTTGCAGGGGCTGTGCCAGTGGAGATTGATTAATTTCTCTTTATCCCAAAATGTGTATGTAAACTTGGATAAGTTAAGTTTGATTATGGGCACCATATGTTGTGAAACGATCCTTCTAAAGTGCTTCTGATGTTGAGGTCTCTTCTCCTTTGGAACTGATGTAACCATGTTTTTATAAGCCCTATCCTCAGGATGTATGGTTCTTATACAATCAACTCAATTATGGATGAAGTTGAGTATTAGAATTTGTCTTAGGGCCTGTTCGTTTGCCCTGAAGTCTGACATTTGAAAGTACAATAATTACATAAAGAGATATATTAGTATTGGTGAGCTTTTCTTTCTTCTGAACTTTGAATGTAGAAAATGTTGTTCTGAATTTTGAAAATTATTAAATATCCATTTTGACCCATATATTAGAGGTTTTGTTTGTCTTTTTGGGGGTATCATTGGAAAGCAAAAAGTTGTATGGTTGCACTTTAAGAGTAAGAGGAAAGGAACAACCATTTTTTTCTTAAAAAATATTCCTTTTAAGAGATTAAAATTAAGAGGAAACGAACAGGCCCATAACTTTCAAATTTCACTTCACTATGATGTCTGTAAGTGTTGAGCAGAGGCCATAGAGCTTCCCCAAGCAACCCCATTTTTGGATACCAGACTTGGGTGAGTCAAGGTTCAAAATATCGATATGCCTAATGTGCCGGTAGGGGCGTGTCGGGCTAATCAATATTGCATTTTGTGCATTTTTTTAATTTTTTCGCAACCGTTTAGGGGGACTGGTTTAGGGCTCCTCCACTCCCTGAACTGGTCAGACCCCTGATATACCCATTATAGGGGTGTATTGGAGGGTCCCGGAACGATACATATCGGCCGATATGTGTCGATCCTTTAAACCTTGGGGTGAATGATCTTCCATAGTCCATGTTGCACCATTTTGTATTATGTGATGGAACTTGAGTGAGGTTCTGGAACTGCAATTTGCCCATGATAAGCGGTTTGGTGAGTATAGATTCTCTACAAGATCAAGTAAAATGTACTTCCATGGTTCTATCTACCAAAAAAATCTTCTTAGTAGCTTAGAAGTCCATTATACTCTTGATGCGTATAGGAGGTGTTTTCTGAGTTTTTAATTCTAATATTGTTCCTTTCACATTTTCTTGTAACAGAGTTTTAATTCTTAACAACACTACCTTCTCTCAAACGTCCTACGGTCTAAGGATGATCATGAACCAGGTCGTGCCAGGCATTTGGGCTTGCCCGTTTAAATCAATATAATTATATATATATTTTTAAATATTAATAACTTAAGCTAAATTCATATGTAAATATAAAAATATATACTTTATTTTATATATAGAGAGAGAGAGAAAGAGAAACTATCTTGTAATTTGGGGGTTGTGATACATAGTTACCTCTGGACTTTCAGTTGGGATAGAGAGCTATCCTCTGTTTTTCTTGTAATTAACATTGTCGGTTTTGAACTTTTATGAGACCATTTTACCCTCTCTTTTATTGCATCTCTAACGTCTACTTTAGATTTTAACAATATATTTTTAGTAAAAATACTAATGGTCCATTTGATTGCCAAGAAATAGTGGGATGAGAAAGGAAAATTTTATTCTCTTTTTTTTTTTTTCTTTTTGTTCATGTGTTTGTTTACTGTGACCTACTATCATACAGGATTTGCTTCCAACATTTGGTTGATGAGAAAATTTTGCAGGATGTTTGATTTTAGCCCACTTGGACAAATCTATGCTTTCTCCAACACCACAACATAACCCTATTTATGGGTGACATGACGTAATACTATTTGAATCTTGGCATGTGGCATGTTGACATGACAATGTTAAAAACAACATGGGCATTGAAAATATAGCATATTAGTAGTATTTAGTTAGCAAAAGTAGCTCTCAAAGTAATAAATTATCATTCATACTTATAATTTCCTTATATATGTTTATAACAAGTAAATACTTGCGGTGTCATTTAAGCAAGTACAAAACGGTCATAACCACCAATTTGACTACCAAAACAAGAATGACCAAAATAAAGGGAATTAAGCTGTCCCTCCATCTTGGCATTAAGCTGCATATGACACAAATTATTTGCTTTGCCCCTTGTGTAAGCTGTCCCTTGTTGGATCATAACCATTTCATTACATCTATAAGCAGTTTAGTTAGTAGCATTCCACTACCATGCAATAATATCATAAGATGTTGCATCTATAATTCTGAAATTTCAAGAAAAAAAAGCTGATAGCTGAGATATGAGATCTGTGCTTGAAACCCACTCTTGAATAACACCAAAAGAATGGAAAATTGAAATACGGACTACGCAAGTCTGTTGATTAATCAACGATGAAACCATCTAAATTTTTAAGCGTCATTTGCAATAATTTGAGATAAAGAATATTGAGGGTTGACAATCCATTTGACTTGTTTGGTCTTTTTATGCTTATTTCAACAAAAAGCAAAAAGTCAAAATGTTAATCTTCAGGCTTTTGGCATATGTTTGTTCCATTTGACTTGTTTGGTATTTTTTATGCTTATTTCAACAAAAAAAAACAAAAAGTCAAAAAGTCTTATAGAAATGAATGAAAATGATGAGATAATACCAGATGGAAGCTTACCATTCGATGAAAACGTCAGAGATGGCGCCAACTGGAAGGAAGGAGACGAGGTCTGGTCAGGTAGTTCAACAATGTTTTCTCACCACTTGCTTATTCTTTCTTTTCTCATTAGGGTTTCACCATTTTGATGCAACCCTGCATATTGATTTTTGAAAACCCACATCCCATATGTTTCTCTTCCTTTCCCAAATTTTCATTTAAAACAAATGCATGCAAAAGGGAATATTCCTTAAAGATATTTCCTTTCCCATGGCAATCAAACGGACCGTAAAGTAAAGTTTTAGGAAAAATTTACACTGTCCAAAAGACATAATATTGATCAAACTCCCTCCCCTATGAATATTAATAAATGCCACCTGATTCGTTACAACGTTTATGAAACCAGTTCATTAATTACTAGTATTTCTAGTATCATCGCCGAACACACAGTCCCAAAGTTTTATTTGTCTCCTACTTCATTATTATACTAAGGGGAAAAGTTGGGATAAAAATATTTCTATTTTTTCTAAAACAATAAAGAGTGGCAATGATAGTTATTTAAACTCTGTCCACTTAAGAGTCACAGAAGGCATTTATAATTAAGTTTATCCTACAAGACAAGGGAGGTTTTTGGGCAGCTTAAAATTCTGAGGAGATTTAAGGTATTATCAGAAAACCCGAGAGGCTTAAGGGCTTTACCCGTTAATATGTAATGATAATTTTAACAATTTTGGGTTTGAAGGCAAAACCAAAAAATAAAATGTTGTCGTCAATGCAAGACCTGCACCTATCCACATGAAAGCTTTTTTTCTATAAAAAGCAATATTGAGAAATCATTGGTTTGAAAGCTTTTTTTCCTATAAAACAATATTGAGAAATCATTGGAGAAACAGTTGAAAAGGCTTTTTTTTTGTTCTTTTTCGCTCAAGGAGAACCACCAAGGCTCAGTTTAGAAAGAGTATAAATACAAATGTGTAGAATGAAAAAGCCTTGTATTTTGTATTATTTTATATGTATTTGTATTGTATTTTTTTCAAATTAAGCCTAAAGAATTAAATAGGACTTTCATTGCTCTAGTCTCAAAAAATGTTAATCCTGAGATCGTAGGACAATTTCCAACTAGCAAGTTTGGGTAATGTCATTACAAATTCATAGTAAAAACTTTAGTTAATGGAACAAAGCAAGTTTAGGGTGGGGCGGGGACTTCATTTCCCATCCTCGACCCTGACTGCAGTCAGGGGATTCCTATTAATCCCTATGCATGTCTTTGTTCCCATCCTGCCAAAGCAATCTCAATCCTCCACCCCTACTCCAATCTCGGTCGGCGATCCCTATTAATCTTTGTCCTCATCCCCATTCCTGCTTCACCAAAGCAATCCCCATATCCCTGATCCCATAGGGTTAGGGAGGTCAGGTATTGGGCGGGCGGGGATGGGGAAAATGCCATCCCTATTTGGTGGTGGCTGAATTAGGAAGGCTCTTCTTCTTGGAAAGGATAATCAATGATCATCCATTCTAATATTATCCAATGCTAAGATTGTTGTGGGTTATGGTTTTGAAAATCAGATTGGACCAGATGGTCGGACTGTTCGAACCAAGAATGGGTCAGGACCCTAGGTATTTTTTAATTTGAACCGTTATTTGTGAAAAAAACATTGAAAATGTCAAAGAACCACTGACCCAAGTAGTCGAACCATAAAATTGTTCAGCTTGGACAGGCATTCATGGTTTTTGTTTTTTATTTTTGGGAGAATGATGATTCAGCCCACCATCAGAATTCTTAGCCCCATCATACATTTGGGGTAGGTGCCAACTCGGAATTGATGTCAATACGTGGGTGGGTATTGGTGTTTACGGTGGGGTATTTAACATTATGAATTATTGTAAGTGTGCTTCAGAATTCAGTAATAGGCTGCAGTGTACTTTTTGTTTATCACAATATAGATCAATACAGAATTTTGAATTACAACCCCCTATAGTCTGCTAATAGCCCCCCTATAAACTTCGTCCTACCCATAAGTTTGACATCAATCCATCGTCAGGATTCATCCCTGTACAGTGGAGTTAAAAAATTCTGATATAGACCGATCAATCATTCTCCCTTTATATTTTGCAATTTAAATAAAAAATAAATAATCCAAAAATTCCATTTCTGTACCAAATCTCACTCGAATTGGGCACGGGCTTCAGTCAGGACAAATCCATGCCCACACCGTTCTAACAGCCTTTCTCAACCTTGCAATGGGAATATATCCCTGTATGTAGATATTCTCAATGCAAGGCAATAAAGGCTGGCCCAACAGAGTTTGCCCCGACTGAATCCGAACTCATGGGTTTTTCTCTTTAACAAAAATCCCGTTTTCGTTCCTTTTGTTTTCTTCTTCTCGTTTCACTCCCATCTGACCTCAGACTACTTATGGCGACCAAGGCGACTGGTGACCAGCGACCTTCTTTTCTTTCTATCATTCTCTGTTTCTCGCTTAAGCAGTTGAGCCCATCTTACCTCCAACGTCCAACCTCCGACGAGTTCCGGCGATCTACGACGATCAGAGACCGACGATTTTGCAGTAACGACCAGCGACTTCTTTACTTGCAGCAGTTTTAGGCTTTAGCTCTGTTTTTGGGCTTTTTTCACCTCTGGCGAGTATTTAGTTGCAGAGACGATTTTAATCACCGGCGACCAGTCCAAACAAAATATCTGACCGGCTGTTTCATTCGTCTCGTCTCTTTGTGACACCACCCTTACCGACGGCGGTGAAGGTATAATTTTTTTTTTTTGTTTTTTTATTAAAAATTGCTAATTGGCTATTCATTTGCGAATCAAATCAAATCATTGCTAATTTGCTATGTACGATTTATAATGTAAACTATGTAAATCATGGCTTTAATTTTTTGAAATGGGAAATAATTGTTGATTGTTTTAAAGGTATGATTAACAACAGTCCATATATTGATCCTTTTTTAAATATGGAGGTTCATTTACATGCAGGAATGGTATCAAGGCTAATCTGTTGTATTTTTTGCAAATATCTGTATTTTTTTTTTTGTATTTGCTGCATTTTATTTTTTATATTTATATATTTTTAGTTTTCCATATTGATGAAGGGAAATTTGGCCCGACCTCATAAAGACATGTGGACGTGACTCGACACAAGTGACAACTCAACATGATCAGTTCGCTACAAAGCGACTTCGGGTACCCTAATACCCCGAACTGAAGCTATCACGAACTAAGATCACCCCGGTATCAGATCGCGACCAGGATAACGATATCAAGTCCGCTACAGGTCGAACTCGGACAGATGGACCACCTTGGAAAGAATCCACCTCGAGACAAGCCTGCCTCAGTGCAAGATCATCTCAGTACTAAGGCACTTCGGCATTCAGAGCAGGTCGGGTCTGAAGAACACGAGCTCAGGCAGCTCACCACTAGGTAGCTCGCCACCAAGCAACTTGACACTTCACAGGCAGTTCGACCTCCGTATGACAACCCCGAGAAGCTCACCACCGTACCCCGCATTTTACGGGATTGTGACTTGTAACGGCTATATTAGCTCACCCACTCCCCGATTTAGGCGGAGATGAGCAACCTTACCGGTTGGTGGCATTATCTCCACCTAACATGAAAGTGGATCCCATCACAACGGGGATCTAGGAACTGCTCCACCTAACCCGCAGGGACTCCAGTATATAAAGACCTCACCCCCCAGGGGCAAGGTATGATGCGTAATCTTTGCTCTCTAGCTCTCTAACTCTCTGATATCATCTTCAAGCTCTCTACTACTAAGTGTTAACTTATCCATTGGAGTGTCCCCGCCGGGTAAGCCACCCCGGGATCTTTGATTCATCTCTTGCAGGTTACTCAGTCCTCGTCGTTGCTGGCAGCCAGATCGTCTCCAGCAGGGAACAGTCGGATTATGCCACATCATTTGGTGCTGTCTGTGGGAAATCACAATTAAAAGCCCTTGTTTCCATTTCCAACATCTCAAGCTCAGAATCAAATCCATGGCTTCCTCCAGCAACGCTGGACAACACAATGAAGCGAATGTCTCCGAAGGGCAACCTCAGTTCCCGTTTGTCTGCATAGGTCAGTTCATCATACCGCTTACTGTGGCTAAGGTCCCAACGCTGACGATGCCCCAAGCGACTGCACAAGGGAACGCGCCACTCCCTCCTGTAGTTGGCGCAACATTCACTAAACCCTTTATGGTTTTGTGGGAAACACTACAAAAAGCTAAGTTCTCATCCAACAAAAAGCTAAGTCCTCACTTTTTAGAAACTAAAGCTCTCGTTTTATAGTTTCCATTTTCTATGAACTCAAAAACTATGCAGAAAGCTAACAGATTAAGCAACTCTACCAATTTTACTTTCAATTCAGATAAAACCTTATCAGTCCTCTTCGCGAGGTCCCCTCTACAAAGATGAGCTCTTCGTGGCTTCCGTGGGAGTTGGCGGTCAACAGACTACATAGGCGCCCTTGCTGGTCGAGCCTTCCAAGGCTCCCGTGCAAGCTGGCGACCTAAAGTTAGTGGTACTGCCCCCGAAGGTTGAGTTCCTATTAGCTTCTTGTAGGAGTGGGTGACCGGCGTCACGAGGCTGATGCAGCACAGTCATAGCTCCAAGGCGCCCACCCAGCGGCTTGGCCCTGGCGCGACCTGGCAGCTGGCACAGGCGCGACCTAGCGACTTGCAAGACGTGCTCGCCGACGAATTCAGCATGCATATCCAAACACTCATGATCCTTGGAAATTGGCCCACGTGCCGAACGATTTGGAGGGTGGTCAACGTGCATGGCGGTTACCCCCAGGAATCTCGAACCACTTAGACGACATCGTAGAATTCTCGGATATGGTGCATGAAGCCCACGCCAAACAATGCTTATATAAAGGTTGTTAGACAGTTGTATGCCCTTAGCTCCAATTAGTTTGATGTACTTATGACATTTATTGTAAATGAATRAAGTRCATATTTGATTCATGTTCTTGTGGTGTGTTTCTGTGTAATACCCTTAAACTGGACACTTAATGAGACTCGTGTTAGTTTAGAATGTTCACAGCCGTTGGATAAGTCTATGAGATTTATCCTGCTAAGGCTGACACTGGTGTGCTGCCAAGTGTTGGGGTGGCCTGTCTCAACTACTAGGGTGAGACCCGAAGCACATGCAATGTAGGTTTACTTGAAACCCTGAACTGGACCAGATTTCCAATATTGCTCTGGACTTTGGAGATTAGTGGGCAAAACTGGAAAGTTACACCTGACCCCTAGACTCGATTATGATACTGCACTAGGTGTCGGATTGGGCTGTCTTTGATATGCCAATTAGTGAGATTCTTAGATGGGGGTCAAAACCTGGGTATGTTGGGACTGAGTTATTTTCTCCTTGTCGCCTCCTTCCTATCGCCGCCATAACTGCCAGTTTGATCTTCTCTTTCTAGTAGGAACGATCAATCTTGATATCAGTCTTTAGAGAAAGGCTGATATGAAGTTGTGCTCATCGCCTCCAGCGAATTCTTGTGAAGGGTTCGGTTCGTTGGACGAACATTGCTGATTTTGTTCCATCCTRCACTGCGCCATCTTCAGTGGGAGCAGTTTTTGGTTCATTCCTTGGGTGTGAACACCTCCATTGGGAGATACTGTTTCTCCGTATCAGGTATATCCCTTCTTGCCTCTGGTTTCAGATTTGGTTCGGTTTATGATTCAAGATTGATCATTGAAAATGCAGATTTTCTAAAACAGAGAATGTGATTCCCAGATGAGGGGAGAGGAAATTTTTGAAATTTCGCCTAACCTACCTGCAGGGTTCGGCCATCCATATGATGGATATCTCATTCCTTTAAAGGCACCAACCCCAGAAACAAGTAAGCAAGTTCTAGCTCTCAGACTTTGTGATTTTTAGCTCACAGTCTACTATGAGAGTACTGACTTAAGCACCGAAGCGACCTCACCGGGTTAGCCACCTCGGGTCCTCTAACATTTAGTTCCTAGCAGGTCTCTAAAGAGCAATGAAGCTCATCAATCCAGCTCGGCACCTGGCCAGCCTAGTGCCTCACTGGTAGCCCTGCACCTGGTCAGCCCGACGCCTCACAAGCAGGTCGCCACCTGGTCAGCCCAGCATCTCACAGGCAGCCCTGCACCTGGTCAGCCCGACGCCTCATAGATAGCTTGCCACCTGGTCATCCCGGCGCCTCATAGGTAGCTCGCCACCTGGTCATTCCGGCGCCTCATAGGTAGCTCGCCACCTGGTCAGCCCGACGCCTCATAGGTAGCTCGCCACTTGGTCAGCCCGGTGCCTCACAAGCAGCTCGGCACCTCACAGGCAGCTCGACACCTAGGCAACTCGACATCTAGGCACCTCCACTTCATCCTCTGAGTCATCGGCCACTTGAAAGCAGACCAAATGACGAGGCACAGGCGACCTGGCGGCATGGCCCTGGCGCGGCCTGGCACGGGCGTCGACCTGGCGGCTTGGCCTAGGCGCGAAGTCGCAAACTGATAAAAGACTTCAGCACCATATAAGTCCCAGTTACCTCTTTGGCATGGGCGAGCTAAGTCCCAGTCGCCTCTTCGGCATGGGTACCTAAGTCCTAGTCGCCTCTTCGGCATGGGCGAGCTAAGTCCTAGTCGCCTCTTCGGCATTGGCGAGCTAAGTCCTAGTCGCCTCTTCGGCATGGGCACCTAAGTCCTAGTCGCCTCTTCGGCATGGGCGAGCTAAGTCCTAGTTGCCTCTTCGGCATGGGCACCGAAGTCCCAATCGCCTCTTCGGCATGGGCAAGCTAAGTCCTAGTCGCCTCTTCGGCATGGGCACCTAAGTCCCAGTCACCTCTTCGGCATGGGCGAGCTAAGTCCCAGTCGCCTCCTCGGCATGGGCACCGAAGTCCCAGTCACCTCTTCGGCATGGGCGAGCTAAGTCCCAATCGCCTCTTCGGCATGGGCACCGAAGTCCCAGTCGCATCTTCGGCATGGGCAAGCTAAGTCCCA